TTCAAAATGCCTTTCACACTCACGAGTACCATGGAACACGAACATGTAACAGAAAAATAACGTCTTTTGTTTAAAAAAGATTCTGTCAACCAAGAATACATGCGCAAGGCAAGATTTATGAAACGAAACAGAAAATAATCATGTCATTGTCAGTGCAATGCAGACAGCCTGACCTGTTTTGATTAGTTCGCCCGTTTCTCGTTTGCTGGCCATTTTTTCTGGAGTGTGACACAAATGGTGAACATGATACTGCCAAATCAATCAAGAACCAGGATACGGCTTGGATACGCTGAAACTTTGTAAATCGTCCTCTTTTCAATTGTAAACTTTATTCCAGTGTAATAAAGGTATACCTACATGTACCATGAAAAATTGTATTGCATCACTTTGGAAATTTACGCTAAATACATGTACTAAATACTAAACAAGCGCACATATCGTATTCATTTACAGCATCGGATTTTAAAACAATGACTCGTGGAATCACAAAGAAACTGTTAAGTACGTATTTCACACATTACCAAGGACCGCGGTAGAGACCGGTACAGCGGTAGAGACCCCTAATTATAAGCAGTCCGCGGCTCTCCCCGGCGTTCTGCGGTACACCGCGGTGCACCGCCCATTTGATTTCCTACTCTTCCCTTAAGCGGTCATGTATGTTCTATGAATCTAACCTTTCACACATAATCTTGTATTGACGTGTTTTTTTTGTTGTCAAAAACGATGTTGCCTTTCAGTTAACTTTTCGCGTTCATGGTGTTTGTGAGAGTTTACAGATTTTTTGAACAAATGTTAAGTAACTATTATATCGTTTTGTGTCAAACTGGGTGGCCCGAATTTAAATGTCAGTGCGTGAACTCATTGAGGTCATTGCCCATTGCCGCACGTAATTCAAACACGTGGTTATTAGAGTTCAGTCGAAATGTATGCGAATAATACGATCGAAGTGCGCTGCGAGTTTATTATAGAAACAAGCAGCCTATCGGCTGAGATAGCTCCGCTGTTAGCAATGCACATTTCAATTAAAGAACTGAAGACATCATTAGAAAATGAACAATATGAATAGTATCAAAGCAATCGGACTTACAGTTTTTAACAAGAAGTCAAAAATATCACTTTTTACCAAAAATTACAAAAATATTCCCCAAAATAAATAGAGAATTGAAGATATCATCACAAAACAAACAAATCTGAGAGAGGTCCACATGTAGTACCTATATATGTAATATCAAAGCAATCGGACTTACAGTTTTCAACAAGAAGTCAAAAATATCACTTTTTAACAAAAATGACAAAAATATTCACCAAAATTAGAGAATTGAAGATATCAACATGAAATGAACAAACCCAAGAGAGGTCTACCCAAGGTACATATACACCAAATATCAAAGCATTCAGGCTTGTAGTTTTCAAGAAGAAGTCGAAAAAGTAAAACATTGACACGGACGACGACGACGGACAATCACTCATATGATAAGCTCCGCTCGACAAAGTCGACAGCGGAGCTAAAAATTAACATTACGCATGATATTGTATGTTATTGTATGGTTAATATTACATGTTCACTTTATTTCGAATAAAAGTATGTAAAATATTTTCTCGACTTTCGTTAGACACCTGACTCCGGGACCTGACTATCTTTTTCAATGATTTAAATGCGCCCATGTTTATATTTACGTAATAATTACGAATGCAACGCATTATCAAGTAGGTAATATTGAAATATTCACAGACCCAATAGCCCGGGTTAGTGTCCCAACAATAATAAAAATAACTTAGTTTGCGTAATTATTATAAAAGCAATACATTGCAAAGTTGAAATATTTAGAGCCTGTGCAATACTGTAAAAATATTTGCGTTATTAGAAAAGCAGCACATTAAGTAAACGATGTTGAAATATTCAACGCCAATACAGAGTTGGATACAAGTTGTGTTATTACAGTACCACCGGATATAATAACAATTTTACTAAATCGACGCACGGACCAAGAAAGATAAAGGGTTGCTAAGGTAACGTGCCAGTTCAGTGAGTGACTTCAAGTTGGGGTCAAACTTCGGTCAACACACACTTGATGTCAGCATCGCCGCGTAGTAAGTTTCGCAAAGTACTTGAAGTTCAATTGTCCCCCAAAATGATGTCGACGATCACTCAACTGTCGCAGCGCATGTTGTACCAAGTCCATGATACACCCCGTTTCGACTTTGGCTTGTTTTTCCTTCTTAGTGCATGTTCTTGTTCACGTAAAATGCGACCTCTCACCAATGTATTAAAACACTTTGAATTTATACTTACGCGTGATTATGTTTGGTCTACGCGAAACATTAATCTTTCTAAACATTTTCTGAGGCCATGCATGATACATATTCACAAAATAATGCGATCATATTTTATATTATGTTGATCTCTATGTCTTTCTGGATCGTTTTGTGATTTTATTCCAAGGCTCAGGCAAATAAAATAATGTCAACTATTATAGACAAATTGGTTTAATTTTTCATTGGAACTTTGTGATCCTTTTAATCTCCCAGTTCTTTGTGTCCATTAATGGTCTTGACAATAAGTGTGAATTGCTGTGCGAGTCTACCGCAGACGATCGCGGTCATCCGGCGTCATGGAATCCATGCATAAATTTGCATAAAATGCGGTCGACCGGCGAGCACCCACCACCACCGCAGTAATGACCGCGGTGCACCGCCCGTTTGATTTCCTACTCTCCCCTTACTTAGAAGTTAATATTATTTATAATATGTGTAATCATTAATGACAGTTATTTATGTACATCATCGATAGCTTCCATATGGTTTTGGAACAAAAAAAATTAAAATTAAAAATTACCCTGTGATTCTGACAAAAAGTACGACTTTAAAAACCTAGGAAAAATTTTAAGAGCATCAGGCTCCTCTTATTATAACCTTTGACCTACCTGAGTGAGAATATAAGATCTGTTAGCTTCTGGAGATTTCACTAAGCAAGCATTGATATAGTCATTGTCAGCTCGTTTGAGCTTTACTCTGGTATGGTCATCTGGAATACAAGTGTAAGTGTTAGATTGTAAGATACTTTGATCTGAACTTTACAGGAAAATACAACTACCGTGTTTGCTCACATAGATATGTGTAAGTACCGTATTATTTTAATCATTCAGTACACAGTACCGGTACATGTGATTTTTGGTTTATATGGGCTTCAATTCGTGATGATCTTTTCGTAGCACAAATATGATAGTACCAATAATTACATTACTAAGCATATTAAAGAGATTCAGGCAACTGGAAAGGTGACAACAATTATGAACACATCTAAAGAAAAGTTTCATTCACACATTTCGAACTATCATATTTGCTTTTTATAGCATTTATAAAAGACGTACTGGTAATTAATTTATTTTTATTTTTTATTCATGTGAATATGCATTGTACCCACAACAATTCATCATTCACTTGCTTCGTTGTACTCCTCAGACTTACGCTCAGGGCACTGAGCTGCAAAAATTTAATTTTTCAAGGACTGGGTGCTTTGTCGAATATACTGTAAAATTTTCACTGGGTTTAAATTTCGCTGATTTACCATTTCAGGTATATTCAATGGGTTTTAAATTCACGGTTTTATCAATTAGACAATGTGTTCTATGCTAAATTTTACATATTCACTGGGTTTTAATTTAGCGCATTTTGCAGTCAGCAAAATAAGCAAAATTAAAACCCAGTGAATAATAACCCCTTATAACCCCTTATAACCCCTTTACAGTATAATGTTTCATTCATTCATAGCACTACTAAAAGACGTTTGGCTGAATAATTACATACCAGTACCATATTGGAAAGAAAATTCATTTTGTTTTGTTTGGTTACACCATGATTTTTTCACAATGAATATTCAAAACGCAGAGTTATTGATAATTTTCGTTGCACTGTCACAGGCATAATGCGGCAGCACTGTGCAAACCAATGCAGCTTGAATGAAAAAAAATCTTCCTTCTTTTGTCTCAACAATACTTCATTGTCAAAACATGGTTAACCATATCAAATCAATTGAGCTAGTACAGTAGTTTTCAAGAACAAGTTTAAAATTGCATTTTTTATCAAAAATGACAAAAGTATTTGCCAAAAGTAGAGAATTGTTATTACATGTATAGTCATGAAATAAACAAATCTGACAGAGGTCCAACCAAGGTACACACATATGAAGTACCAAAGCAATTGAGCAGTCAGCAATTATGTATACGAACAGCTCCGCTCTGTCATCTATGACCCAAGAAACCTTGAATGGACTCAAGAGACGCTACAGTACCACAAACTGATTCACAACCCATGATTTTACAGAATAACCAACGTGATGAAAACATTTGATTATTGCGCCCAGCACCACTCCTTGACTAGTCCATGTTTTTATCACCATTAGCACCAGCATGCACCGAGGAAAACATTTCCCTGCCTCAACACCCAATCATCTCTAAAGACCCAATGTGCGTACAATTCTTTCAATATGTAAAATAATTTCTGAAGAATCAAAAATCATCAGTTTTCAATACTTCTTCTAGGATGCACAAGATCACATCATCAACCATCAGAAGGTGGAAAAAGTATGATTAAGATCGCGAACAGTTCACACAAGATAAATGACGGTAGGAGGGTAGGAATGTGACATAAAGATTACATTCAGAATTGAAATGATTAGTTATCATGCGATGTCAGCAATAATTACAACATTTCTTGATTTTAAAGCATCTCACAGTTGGTGTCAGCATTTCATAAAACACAACAATCTTAATCTTCAATGGCATAGCGATTGCCCACCGACATAAGAACGAAAAGTCTGTTCATTTTGATCTTGTCTCAAACAAAACAGTCACATACAAAGAGTGAAAACCATGAAAGTATGAATATGAACAACGAAAAGCGTCATCTCACTGTTGTATCGACTGTCATATCAAAGGGAGATGTTCTTTCACCCATGGTTATATTCAAGGGAAAACGCAAACCGAAACTGAAATCCCTACCAGGTTGCATCGTTGCTATCAAAGAACATAGTTGAACTCTGGTAACCTTGCCCTTTGTTATATAATATAATTCCCTTTATCATAGTTTGTTTCAATATAAATATGCATTGTCATAATTAATTTTGAATACAAACAAGTTTTGGGGTTGAACCAACAGTGGGGAATCAGTCTACCGAATGTCCTTAAAAGATGTAAATATCTTACAAAAACATTGGTGCCTTATTTGTTTAATTATTTTAAGGAACATAATTTCCAGCTTTATTGAAAGTAATTGAGATATTTTAGAATAAAAACAAATGTCTCATTGCAAAAAAAAGTGCTGCATTTAGATGTGAATAGATTCATAAAACATGCAAGATAACAGAAAATCTTAGCTGGCTTTAGTCCAAGTATTTTGTACAGGTGTCTGTCAAAAATGAATGATTCACTGAGACAAATATGAACTGCCTCATTGTGTGACTACTGTATTATATAAAAAGTAAAAAAAAAACAC